TTATATAATGAAGCAGCCGTGAGTACTGTTGACAGGGTAAGATACTCCCGCAACTGCCAGCTTGTCCCTTTGACATGAGATCACTACTTAGCACAGAACTTGTTCGGGGTTCCTTCCTACCATGTACGGAAACCGCCAGGGACATCTGAAAACAGGACCATGTTCTCAGGGTCCTTGTTTTTACAGTTGAGATGTTCTGCAGTAAAATAATTTTTGGAGTTTTTTTGAGAAGAAAGTCTGTTTGATCTGGGATCCATTTCTGCATTGGAAGCTGGGTACTAAAAATAAAATACTATGAATGAAAAAGGCCCAGTATTCTCCATGTATTTTGCTGTTGTACTAATGAGCCATCAGGTTTTATTTCTGACAAAGCTAATTTGACAGGGTACAAATGAAACATAGTTAGTTTTTAAAAGCGTGTCTTTTTATAAAACCTTATATTATTCCATAAATGTAAGTGTATTTTCCTTTATGTTGTCCTCTAAAGGATCAGTTTTTTAAATTAATAGAAGCAGAATTGGGGGCTTATAGTTAAGACTAAGAAATGTGATTTCCAAGTTCTTTATAGTTATAGTAATTGAATTAATTTATCACCTTGGAAAAGTTATTTATCTTTTTGTTCTTTTGTATAATGTCCAAAATTAAAGTGCTTTTTTTTCCTTTAAAATATTTTAATATATATATATATTTTTTTTAATCACTCACATGGTCCTTACCATGTGTTACACACTGTTTTAAGGAGTTTACAAATGCTGCCTCATTTAATCTTCACAGAAAAAAAGAGTCCAATAGCAGCCTTCTTTAAATACCATTTGAAATGCTGATATCCAAATAGTGATTAGGTCTGATGACCTTTTAGGTCTATTTAAATACTGAGGTATGTATGACGTTGTGATTTTAAAGAAACTCTAATCAAGTTCATGCTAATTTTTCATCTTTTTACTAGTGGTGATTATTACCCAATAATGCTTTTTAAAAATGAAATATAAAGGGTGTCATTTGTATATTGCCATGTGTAATAGGATGTAGTTATGGTAGCAACTTGAAAATTCTGGTTAACTTGTAAATTATAATTATTGGCATAGTTTACCTTGGACATGAAAATTAGTCAAAAGTTTGATATTTTATTCGTAGTAAATCAGAGTCCCCTGGTACATAATTTACCCCTCTGGCCCATGATTATTTCATGACCTGCTTGATGCCTCGAAGCCGCAGTTGACCTGACACAAACGGGAGTGTCCACAGGAGCACGGCTTCTACGGAACAACTTTTGCAGCGGGGTAGCGGCTCCTTAAGAGACGGTTAAAGTAGCCGGTAGGCCTTGCCCGGGGTAGCCCAGTGAGCTGAGCATCATCCGCACACCGATTCCCAGTCCTGGCACATGCCTGGGTTGCCGCCCAGGTCCCCAGTTGTGGGGGTACTAGAGGCAACCAGTCGATGTTTCCCTTGCACACCGATGCTTCCCTCCCTTCCCTTCCGTCTAAAAATAAATAAATAAAATGTTTTTTTTAAAGAGTGGTTAGCAGAGAACTGCTGCCACTTGAAAAATGGAACTGAATGAGTTCCTGAGAGTGTAAATACGTGTTTATGTACTTATGTATGTTATTGGTGGTAACTAAATATACAGAATTACATCTGTGATCAAAACAGTCCACATGGTGGGCATCTAACAGAACACGAATGAGATGGTAAAGCTTTAAACCAAGTTACATTGAGGGACAGTTGAGGTTGCTGGTGGCTTGAGGAGGTGACAGCTGTGACAGCGGCACAGAACGAAGAGCGCTGAGTAGGAGCGCAAAGGTGACGCAATTCTGCTAAGCGGTAACAGCGAAAGAACGCGCCAGGAGACTCGCAAGTTTCCTGCGTTCAAGGGGAAGTCTGCTGGCCCCTTGGAATGAATGTCGTAGAAGGGATTCCAACGTTAAAGGGGTTCTTCGCAGTGTCTTCCATAAAACCTCTGGGTGTGCGTCATGGTTTGATCATTCTTTCTTCAAATTCTAAGCTTCCTGAGTAGATAATAACTGAATTGTTCAGTATTAAGCTGAACAGTTGCTGAATTGAGTAAAATAATTGACGTAGAAATTATTGGTACAGTTTTGGGGACATAGTAAGATCAGTTACTGTAGATACCTGAATTCAAGGAAACGTCATTTTATTTCTCAAGAAATAATCGCTGTGAAAATACTTGTGACATGCCCAGCAGGTGCAAGCTGGTAGAACACCCAGTAGGGCTCCCAGTTGTTCAGTATTTTGACCTACTAGTTGTTGACTTTTGCCTCTGGATGTAACCAGGACGGAAATGGGCCTTATGTTGTAAACAGGATAGTTGGGCTGGGGTTGAGAGGAGGTCTTTATATTGACATTTTAATAACCTGAATTACTTACAATGTTACATGTTAAGTCGATATTGACAGAAAATGATAACCCAGCACTACTCTTTAACTTATTTTTAATTTCTAATTTATGTTTAATTTCTCATTCTTTTTCTCCTATAATTTTACATTAAAATATATGACGCATTTTAATATGACAGCCTAACAAAATATGATGTTTTATAAAATGTCTTTAATTTCTCACATATTTTCAGTTGATTTGAATGGTGTGAGAAACTTTAGATTCTTATCACTTAATTTATAAATCTGCAGCTAAAAATAGTCTGTAAAAGATAGCATTAAAAATGAAACATAAGCCCTGGCCAGCATGGCTCAGTTGGTTGGAGTGTCATTCCATAAACCAAAAGGTCGCAAGTTTGATTCCCAGCCGGGGCATATGCCGGGATTATGGGTTTGGTCCTGGTTGGGGCATGTTGAGAAAGAACCGATCGATGTCTCTCTCTTGCGTCGATGTTTCTTTCCTTCCCGCCCCCTCTCTTTAAAACTAATAAACACGTCCTCAGGTGATGATAAAAAAAAAGAAACAAGAGAAATGAAATACCTAGTAACTCCTTTAAATATAAGAGTGTTAGTATAATTCTTAAAGAGACTTCAGTCAGATTGATTGATGGAAAATGAGAACTAATGTGGAATATACTTATTGATGTAAAGTTTCCAGTGTATACTTTACCTGACTTGGGAATAAAATAAATGGTCAGTAGTTTAGTTTGGGTTTAAATGAGCAGATACCTATTTGGGGGTTGTGTATATTATCCTATTTGTTTCAGCAGGTTACTCATTAAAACATTGAGGATAAATTAGCAGTGTGTTTAAAAGCAGAAATTATAAGCTATCACAAGTAATTTGTTTTTAAAATTTAAGTTGCATCTATTAGGACTTAACATAAATGAGTATATGAAATACTTTTATAAACCTAAAATTCTGCAGAAAGCTAATGTTTTGACTTGCAGTCATACCATCTCCCTGGGTTACTCTTAGATGACTTTGAGAGAGAATTCTGAAAGTTGAAGTCTCTTCTGCCTCCTCCTCGTAGACTAATTCAAGTACCAACGTGAGGTGAAAATATAGCTGAGAGAACTCTGGTCAAGATTATGTTGTCAGTTCTCAGTTTGAAGGCTACTCACTTCCCTTTGCTCCAAAAACACAGAAAAAGCAAGAGAACATTTAAAACACATAGCCACACCCCCAGGTGAGGTAAACATTTCTCAGAGCAGAAACAGATCGAGAAGTTGCAGCAGGGAGCGTGCGGAGCTTTGGGGCTGGGAGGAGGCAGGAGCGGCTGGGAGCTCAGCTCAGCGCTGTGTGCCCGGGTGGGAGGCCGCGCACTGGTGCCAGGTTCCCTGCTAGAAACTGGACACGGGAATAGATTTTTTACTGAAAAGAACTGGAACAAAGGTGTTCATAATGGCTTTTAAGTTCTAATGGGTAGGGAGGTGGGAGGACATAGAACCAGCTTCACAGTGGGATTGTGAGCCAGATTGATACTGTCTTGGTGACCGACCCTCCCCTTGCTGTCTTCAGGGCGACTGCAGGGCGGGACCTGAGACCCTGGTTTCAGAACTAGCAAGTGTCAGACTCTAGGAGCCACTGCGCGTGCTATAGGTTTGGGGGAGGTGAAAGCCGCCCCACATGAGCCTGCACAACCCAAATTCCAAACATACGTGCTGAGATCTATGAAAGACAACCATCGTAGCCCTGATCATAATTAAGGTGAATTTATCCAAACAGAATGGAAAATTAATAGAATCATTTTGAAAATATTCTTTTTGTATCCTCAAAAATACACTAAGTTGTGATATTCATAAAAAAGAATAGTTATAAAATAAAAGCAGGGAGAAGTGAACCAAGAATATGACAGAGAAGTAGTTAATTAGAAAACTTAAAAATGAAAAATACAGTAATTGAAAGCTCAATAAACACCAATTTTAAACTGGGCACTACCAAAGAAAGATACATGAGAGCGCCGTCACACAATATTACAATTTTTGCTTCATCTGGCAAATGATTTAGAAAACTCAAGAACAGAGGTAAAGTCAATCGTATTTACATATGATTTTGCTTTTTCCCAAGAGATTTGTTGATTGTCTATTTTGAGTTTTGTTTCATGTTCAGATTCCCAAAGACTATTGACTCTGAGGAAACAAACAAAACAATTGGCTCTTTATCTGTAAATATAAAGATTGAAATGACAGTGCAGAGAAAGAGGTCATATTCTGAATTACGCGCTTTTAGTGGAAATAGTAAGGCCCTACCACCACTTTACATCATGGAAGTCTAATAATGTCATGTGACACAGTGATGAGAATGCAAATAAGGATCTATTAAGTGAGGGCCAAAGTTCGTTCCAAATTTCCTTCCAGGTTGGTGAGTCTATAATTTATTACAGGAAATTCCTCATTATCACTGTATGAGTTCAAGAAAATTTAACTGAAATCCTGTAGTAACTGATAAACCCAATTCTAAAAATTCTGGACAAAAATAATCTTGAAAGAGTTCCTTTGCATGATGTTTCCACTGCTGTTGTAATTTTTAAGCAGTTGCTCTCATTCTAATGAATTCTGGGTCAAGGAAAAAACAGCGACTCTGTGTGGGGATTCTCTTTTTCAGGCACAAGACCTAAATGTCATCGAAGAAGTTATTCGAATGATGTTAGAGATCATCAATTCCTGCCTGACGAATTCTCTCCACCACAATCCAAACTTGGTGTATGCTCTGCTTTACAAACGAGATCTCTTTGAACAATTTCGAACTCATCCTTCATTTCAGGATATAATGCAAAATATTGATCTGGTAAGTATAAATGGAGATATTTATTATGGTTCTTTTTTAAATATTTAAAGTAGAAAAGTTGAATAAACCTTGATAAAAACTATAATAGAGTCTCTTTAATATTAACTGTATTTGCCCTCTCTTCTGCTGTAACAATTGTTGCATTACATGTATATACTAGATATACAAATATACATACAGGATGCGGCACAAATAACGCCCCGCTTTTAATACCAAATCTTTTATTACAGTATCATAAGCTTGTAATTCTCTAACATAACAATATCACACTCAAGCACACCATACTACCCTTTAGGTGAAATGTTCACATTAAAACTATAAATTATTATACTCGGATTATTACCGTACCAACCACACTCAAGCAGGCCTTACTTCTGCCGGAACCTGTACCCACACACATGTGCGGTGGTTTGGCCAAAAAGTCCATTTGTTTTTTTCCATACGATGGCTTTAGTGGTGCTTAGTTGTCTTAAACTTCACTTGAAACAATTTTGTTAGGTTGTATTGTGACAAACATCACATCAGCGTGCATTTTAAAGATTGTCAAAATTGGTGAATTTTTGTGTAGCCATTTTAATATTGAAGATGGAATAGTGGCATTTTCAGCATATTATGCTTTCTCATTTGAAGAAAGGTAAAAGTGCAACTGAAGTGCAAAAAAAAGGGTTTGTGCAGTGTGTGGAGATGGTTCTGTGACTGATCAAACGTGTCAAAAGTGATTGGCAAAGTTTCATGCTGGAGATTTCTTTCTGGACGATGCTCCATGGTCAGGTAGACCCGCTGAAGTTGATAATGATCAACTTGATAACGATCAACTTGAGACATTAATTGAGAGCAATCAATGTTCTACCACACAGGAGACAGCTGGCATGCTCAAAACATCCAAATCAATAAAGTTATCGGTGAAAATGAAAAATATGTATGTTATTTTACAGAAAAAAAACATGGACTTTTTGGCCAGCCCAGTATTTTTCTTAACATTTAGATCTTTACCATCTTTTCTGTAATATCAATTCTTTGAAAATCTCACATTCCAGTATCTGTATTTTGAATGTCCTAGATATTCTTAACCATTATCCCCGATAAGAAAACCCAGGCGGTAAGAGAGGGTTTCCAGGTGATTTTAACACCAGCCCAGGCCTAAGAACCATTATCTTAGATAACGGTTACACATTTGCATAGGACCTTATCACTGCGAGTTATTTGCATATACATATCTCTTTTGGCCCTTAACCGTCCCTGTGAGGGAAGCCAAGCAGGGTAGGAGAGGAACAACGGTTCCTCTCACGGAGCTGGTTCCTCTCAACGGGTCAAGGTCACGTAGCTAGGAAGTCACTCAGACCGAGGATCCGCATCTGCGCATTATAAACTCTGCTTTCAGCATTCACTTGGATAAACCCAAGTAAGATTCCAAATGAGCAGGCTTTCCAAAAACTTTTTGTTGAATACTGCCATCCAAAATAGTGCTGGACACACCAGAAATTTATTCAAAAACATTTAAAATTCTTTTTACATGTTTTGGGGGAAAAAATGCCATGACAGAGACATAAATAACATCTCTGCTTTTTGCCTCTTTCAGCACTTTACCTTCCCCTTCCCTCCCCTAAATGCCCCTGAGATTTTGGCATAAGCAAGCCTTTACTATTACTATTTCTTCTTTCATGAAGTTAACCTTGAAAAGTATTGGGAGAGGACACTGTGAATCTACTGTCATTTTTAGCTGACAGGGAGTCGGGAGTTGATATTTTTCAGTAAGACATTCAGCAATGTTCAGTGTCTGTGACAGGAGTGACTAACCTTGGAGCACTTTTAACTTTTGCACAAGGAGTGAGACGTGTGTTTTTCAAGTGGCTAAATTTCCGTTAGCCATTGGTACGTATTGCTCCCATTGTAATTCATGGAATGAAACGATCTGACTGAATTAAGCAGTAGGACAAAATAGAATTACCACACCAAACAGGAGAGGACATGAAAGAAATTTCATGGCTGAACATAAGTAGAGAACAGAAGCAGTGAACAATAGTAGTTGCATAGCATGGTAAAGGCAAGAACTACTCGTATCTCTGCACAGTGTAAAATTCACGTTAGATTTTGTGTATTTCCAGGCCTGACCCTCCTACTGAACTCCAGACTAGTCCATTGGTGAATAAGGTTAAATCAGAATTCTTTATTGTCTTCAAAAAAATCAAACATAAAATGAAATCAACTTTTTCTTCTGCAGTCTTCTTTATTTCACCAAATGACCTCAATACCTACCTAGCTGCTCAGCCAAATGAAGGAGGAGGAGGAATAATTAGTGTTGGTTGAAATAAGGGTGGGATTTTGCAAACCTGAAGAGCATGGTGAGAGAAGGCCTTTCTGAGAATGTGCACGTGAGCACAGACTTGAAGGAGGCAGAGTGGGCCGTGCAGGTGTCTGGGGTCAGAGTGTCCTGGGCAAGAAGAGACAGGCGTAGGATGGTGGCAGCCTATGTCTCCCTCGGAAGCAAAAGATAGGCATGCTTACTGACCACTAGAAAAGGCTTGGGTCCCTACGCCTGCAGTTCTGGTCCTATAATATAAGCCATCGCGTGGGCAAAGGCTGCTTGGTTCTCCTCAGATCGTCCTTGTGCAGACGGGCTTGGGGGACCGGTGCAGAAATGCTGATGTGCTGATCGCTGCCATTCCTGCGACTAACAAACTCCCCTTTATGACGGACCCAGAAACCTCCTCCCAGGGCCCAAGAAACTGAGACTGACTAGCTTGACAACTTGCAAGTAAGGGGAAATTTCAGACTCTTCACAGCTCTCAACAATATGAAATGGTATAATACTGTTTGAAGGTAGACTGATAAATTAAAGATGTATGCGCATTATAAACTCTAGGCCGACCACACAAAAAGAAATAAAGCTATAACTAGATAAAATAGACCCAAAGACCATACTCAGCCCAAAGGCAGACAGGAAAAGCAGGATAAATAATAGTGAGCAAATAGAAAACAACAAGCAGTGTGGTAGATTTAAATCCAACCATGTCAGTAATTAAATGCCTCTCATTTTGAATATAAAGACATAGATAGCTTAAAAAGTAAAAATATGAAAGACGTTTTACCAAGCAAACACTAATTAAAAGAAAGCTGGAATGATTATAAAGTAAACTTCAGAATAAGGAATACTACCAGAGATACAGAGGAACACCATGTATTGATAAAGGGGTCAGTTCACCAAGAAGACATACTTCTAAGTGTGGATGCACCTAATAACAGAACTTGAAAATACATGAGGCAAAAACTGATTGAATTGCAAAGAGAAATAGACAAATTCATAATTATAATTGGAGAATTCAACACTTCTTTCTCAGTAGCCGATACAATAACTAGACAGAAAATTAGTAACAATACAGAATACCCAAACAATACTACCAACCAACTTGATTTAATTGATGTTTATAGAACATTCTACCCAACATCACTGCACGTGGAACATTCACTGAGATAGGCCATATTTGAGGTCATTAAACAAACCTCAACAAATTTAAGACTTGAAATCATGTTATTTGACCACAATGAAATTAAACTAGAAATCAGTAAGAAAGATACCTGGAAAAATACCCCAAATGTTTGGAAATTAAGCAGTGCACGTATGGATGAAAGAGAGGCAGTCACAAAGGAAATAGAACATATTTTAAAGTTAGCAAGAATGAAAATGCAATATATCAAAATTTGTGGGGTGCAACTAACACTTTGATGGAAATTTACGGCATTAAATGTTTCTATTAGAAGAGAAGTCTTAAATCAATTGTTAGATTCCACATTAAGAAACTAGAAAAAGTGCAGGTATGTCAGAACTACCACCAGGACTCAGAGGCCGTTAAGTCTAAGATCGGCCTGGAGCTCTACGCCACTCACCTGTGCATGTCGTACGAGTTGGGCCATGATTGCCATGTATTTCCTTCAGCAAGCTTATGAGGAGGGACATTCTGAAAAGCTGATGAAGCTGCAAAGCCAACTAGCTCTTCCTTCAGGGTATCAAGAAACCAGACCGTGGCCACTGGGAAAGTGACTGTGACACAGTGGGGCGTGCATGACACTTGGAGGGTCAGTCCCTGCTAGAACTGCACAAACTGGCTGCTGATGGAAATGACCCCCAATTGTGTGACGTCACTGAGATTCACTACCTGAATGAGGGGCAAAATCCATCAAATGATTGGGTGACCGCATAACCACCTTGAGCAAGACGGGGCCCCCGAATCTGGCGTGGCAGAGTGTCCACAAGAAGAGCTAAGCCTTAGCCTGGCTCCCTGTAGCCACAGGGTGACTTTCTGGTCACTAAATTTACTGCTGTGTGTAAAATTCTAACCTGGTGATAGGAAATACAAGTTTATATCTTTGAATGAAGATATTATTTACTAGTCTCACATTCTTTGCTAGTGTTACATCCTGACTCCAAAAGAAATTTTTGGCTAAATAGCTTATACCTTTCACCTCAGATATTTCCTATTAAGAAAACCAAGACCTTTGTAACATAATAATTGCTGATAACATGATAAAGTAACACCAAACACCTGACTCCTGACACATACCTGGCTATAGCTGGTCAAGCTTTTCTCTCTCTGATTCTGTAAACTCATCTCTAGGACAGATTTTATCAGCCTCATAGGATTGTTGTGCGAATTAAGTAAATAGTAAATGTAGCTCACATGGTCCATAGCACACATGCAGATGTTTGTTCCCTTGTTGACATACAAATTATGTATGTCAACATACTGCCCTTCTGGGAGTGGTGGTTTTATCATTTTCTAAAGTAGTAGGAGTTTGAATGCAAACACATTAGAATATCAGCTGTAAAACATGCAAATGACAGTTTGATAAAAGGAATTTACTTAGAAACTGAGTCTCATGCCTAGTCTGCAGCCATGGTGGGAGTTCCTGTGGCTTAGAGGCAAGTGCAGGTAGGCCACAGGGCGAACAAAGCTAGATTATCAGTGCATTACTGAGTTCTGAAATGATGCGACATGTAAGTACTCTCTGTTACGTTGGTTTGTAGTGTCTGTAGCAATACTATGTGTTCCTCGTAGCTTTAATTGTATGTGTTTTGTTACGGCAATCAGCAGTCTCCAAAGAGGATGATACACATACCCTAGATGTTGCACATACTCCAAACGTTGCTCAACAGTCCATAGAAATGTGGGAAGAAAAATATTAGACCTTTTATTTATTCATTAAAAATAAACAAATTTACTTCTGATCAAGACGGTGGCATAAGCAGACATGGCTTGCCTCTTCGCACAACCACATCAAAATTACAACTAAAACATAGAACAACCATCACTCAGAACTGTAATAAATCAAGTTGAATGGAAGTCTGACAGCTACAGAATTAAAGGAACCATATCCACCCAGAGTGGTAGGAGGGGCACAGATGCAGAACAAGCTGGTCCCTCACCCAGGTGGGTGAATAAAAATCCCACGTGTGGAGGGATACCTCGGGAGTGAGGAGTCTCAGGACCCCCCAGCCCAGAGTTCTGCTGTCAGGAAGATAAGTCCCCACAACTTCTGGCTGCAAAAAACAGTGGGGATATGTCAGTGGAAGAAACTTTTAGAGTCCCAAGCAGTTTCTCTCTAAAAACCCAACACACAGACTCACCTACTCAGATTCACTCCCCCTGGATTCCACGCCAGGGTAGAGGCTTGAGGAGCGTCAGTATCGTGCAAGGAGAGGCTGAGGTGTCTGGCATCAAGGAGAGCAGAGACAATTGTCCTTTTTCTGGGCCCTTGCCCCGCAGAGCCAGCAGGTATCTAAGATTCCATCAACCTGGCTAACACCGTTAGACCTGCCTTGGAGATTCCCAGAGACTCCACCCCATTCAGCTTACAGGCCCACTCAAGCTGCTTTTCCACATGAATGGCTGGTTTGGCTCATGCCTCACAAACTTCCTAAATCGGGAGGAGTTGATGGTGATTGGGAGAACTGTGTGAGGTCCCAAGGTGCCTACTTTGAAAGGGACTGAGGCATCGTTGTCCTATGTACAGTATTTCTTATAGCTTGTATCTTCTTCAATAATGTCTCTATTTTTCATATTGCATGGCCTAGATACCTTCTCAACAGACTTTGTATATTGGGAGTACCTCCTCACTTTACTTGTAAGCCTGCACCAGCAAAAAAAATTGGGAGACCTCTGGTCTAGATCGTGGCTGATGCTCAGAATCACCTGGAGAGACTGCGGTAGAAGATCTCTGGCCAGGCCTGGTGATCTGTATTTTCACAAAGCTTACTGGCTACTTTTGATGGTCAGCCACCTCTGAGGGCTGTTCCTTGTCTACATTATCTGCTGCTGTAAGCTAAAAATCATGCAATAGTGAAAATACATTTAGTAAATATTAGAAAGGAAAAAATCTATATGCCTTAGGCATCTATAAGATCTACGTACTTTTTCAGTGACATTTTTTATTTCTTAGATTGTTTTTAACAGATATGTCCTATTTAAATATTTTTTGGTCAAAAAGAATTTTATGCAAAGACATTAGGCTGAACCATATGGAATCACCAATTTTCAGCTATTTTTACCTACGAAAATGACATTTCATGTGGTTAATGAGGTTTTTTTTCCTCAGAAAAACAGTGTTTAAAACAAAGATATTTATACAAGAGGAAGGTGTTTAGTTTGCATCTTTGTTGTATATTTTAAAACAAGACTTTAATACAACTACTGGCAGTACGTTTTCTCTTTATGTTGTGTCTGTCTCCAAAGACATTCGCTGTTACAAAAATCAGTTTGTTCTAGCTGATGTGGCTCAGTGGGTTGGGCATCATCCTGTGAACCAAAAGGTCACTGGTTCAATTCCCAGTCAGGGCACATGCCTGGGTTGGGAGGATGCAGGAGGCAGCTGATTGATGTTTCTCTCGCACATTGATATTTATCTCCCTCTCTTTTCCCCTCCCTTCCACTCTCTCTAAAAATAAATAAAATCTTTTAAGAAAATCAATTTGAGTACATGCTGTATCTAAATTTTATCTCAGAATTCCCCAAAAGCTCTTAATACCTGACTTGGGGAAAACAAGACCCATAGGCACATGCTGAAAAACCAACAACCTGCTGTGGACAAAATAAGCAACTTGCAAAGGAGTTGGTGGCAGCAGATTGCCTGAGATAAAGATATTACTTATCCAGACTCAACCACCAGAAAGTCAGCCATCGGCTGCTTTGTTTTCACTCGTTACCACTATGCCCCAGTCACAAGGTTGTTAGAGTCCTGGCTCTACTTTTCAGAATAAATGCATTTCAGTGGCAGTTTTGTCACATCGTGCACTTTGCCCTAGAATGGTTAAGGGGAAAGTTGTACTCTTGAACAATTAACATTTAGGAGAATAATCTTGAATGAAAATTCATTAAAATGTTTGTTTGCAAATAATTGTTAACAAAATATAAAATAGAAAACCTGTAAATGGAAACACTCAAGTGTAATGTTCTTGACTAATGGGATCTACAGTCGCCTTGATTAACACTGTACTGTTAAAATGATTTGCTAGGATATGATATTATTTTAGTGTTTTGTGACAAATAATAAGGGGTAGTATTATGTCCAGAATGCTACTGTGTTAACATGTTGCTGCATAGTGCAGGCTATGCTGGGAATTGAGACAGAAGTAATTATATTTTGCTGTTGATTATCCCTGATGATTAGGGATACAAGTGTTATGGAAAAATTAAATTTATAAATACCGCCCATAACATCATTTCAGCCATTAGCTTCAAATTTCTTTTTCTTTTTTTTTTTTTAGAGTTACTGTTAATCCTCCACATTAACAGTTTTTAAGCTTTAGCTTTCTTTTTCCACCTTCTGATGGGTGCTGCTCTCTAAATGAAATATAAATGTAAAGTGAGGCAGCACAAGAAGGAGCAGAATTCAGGAGCCCACTTAATTCACAGAATGGTTGACGAGCCCTGAATACTCAGGGTTGGCTGTGATTCAGACATTAAACTCTCTATAGAGAGGTCTGTGTTAGGAGAGCTAGTGAGTTAAAAGCCAGGGCATTGTAAGAAGTGCAGTTATGATGGGTTGACTACCACGTGAGAAAGACATCTACTGAAAATGCATCTCCTACATCTACTTGTTTAAAAACCAATGCTTTACCTTCCAGGTGATCACCTTCTTTAGCTCCAGGTTGCTACAGGCTGGAGCTGAGCTGTCAGTGGAACGGGTGCTGGAAATTATCAAGCAAGGAGTGGTGGCACTGCCCAAAGACAGGCTGAAGGTAGGACTGGCAAAGGAAACACGTGCCGTTGTGTCACTTGATGTAAACATTAGTGTCTGAGCAGGCTCTTTTCCGAATCATAGCACTTACCCAGTACCTGCACTAGAAAAGGCTCTTGCAGAATTGCTACTCTACTGTATACGGATACACAGAACTATGAGGAAGAAGGGTTCTCGCAGTTTTCCCAAAAGTAGCAAAAAAAGGACTAATTTATCCTTACCCTGTATGTCCTATGAGTTACCACTGTATATACTATGATTAATTTATATAAAGGAGCACCTTATTTTTTTAGCCCAATGAAATAAATTCCTCCCTGTAAGTACCATCAAGAGTTGACAGGAAGGTGGAGGTGGTGGTGATGAGTCTACAACAACGGCTAATACTCAACCTAGTGTTTTCTCAGTGCTATGTGGGGCTCTTAAGCGTCTTACGCATGTTAACTTATTCTGTTATCACAACAATGCTTTACAGGAAGGATTCAGTGTGGGTATTATTTCCATCCTAATTTTTCAGATGAGTAAACTGATACACTGAGTAGGTAAGTAACTTACCCAAAATCATAAAACTGGAAAGCGATGGAACTGAGAGGTTCATGACCAGGCAGTCTGGCTCCAAAGCCCCTGCTCATAACCGCCACGCTCTTAGCTGTAGGCCTGGGTGTATCTATAGAAAGAGAAGCATTTCATGAAAAAAGGAGGGGGAAACACTGTATTTTAAGAAGACATTTACATTGTGTGTTAGATGTGTTCCTGAAGTGACCTCACGATATAAAATGCACACTTCAAGACTAATTTTTCCATAGGAAAAAATGTAAAAGTCACAGTTTGCGGGGGTGGCGCATGAATGTACAGCATCATTCCATATTTTTACTCTAATACTTTATTTTGATGTTTCTCTTGCATTACCTTCTAAATGTTTTAAAGTACTAGGTCCTAGTTAACAACACAGGGCATCACAGTGGAAGTTTGGCCTTCTTCAAAGTGTCTTATCACAGCGGACTCTGTTCCAAAGTGACTGTTTGGGGGGCGGTGTTTCTCAGCAGTGTCGCTAACCCACTGCCACGTCTAGGATACGAAAACATTTTCCATTACAATAGCAGAGTTTGTAAAACAAGAGCGCATTAGCCATCGTGACCGCTTATCGAAGCCCCACCACCCGTAAACAGCAGCGAGGCTCTTGTTTACGCGGTGCTGAGCAAAGACGGCAGGCTTCCCTGTGCGCCTGCTGGAATGGCACCGCCGTGTCACAGCAGCCTCAAAGCTAATCGCCGTTCACCGGACACTCTAGCTTTGACGTTATTCCTGACAGTTCTGTAAAGGTAGGGAGTTCATATTCATATTATTTCCATCCTTAAACTAAGTTTTCTGGGGAGGGAGCTAGCACTATTTCAGATTTACTTGAACTAGACCATATGAAGCAGTACAAAAATCCATGAAGGTTGGAGTGGCTGCTCATGGAAAGTGATGGATCTTGGTGTCTAAACTAAGTCAGAAAAGAAGTGGAATTATCATGAGGTTGTAAGAAAGGATCCCGCAGAGGAATCAAGGGAAGAGGGATTTTAATGAGATCAAAGAGCCGGCGTAGTGGAAATAACAGATTGTGATTAGAGAGCAGCATATTGAGAGTGAAAATGTCAAAAGTGAGGCAGATCGCAGCGATAGCATAGGCTGGATCTGGCCCTGAGTGGGGAGACTGAAGTGATAAAGATGTGAGCCACACTCAGCGTGACTGAGCCAGTTAATGAGCTGGAAGCCAAGGACAGGTCATGCACATGGGCACCCTCATCTCGCAGGGTAAGCCTGCAGTAGGGAGAGAGGTTGTGAGCCGAATGCTGCAGCAAACCGGGGAGCGGCCTAGAAGCCAGTAGTGGGCAGCTACCCAGAGAGAAGAAGCTGGAACCAGTCTCACGCGAGCAGAGCCTTTTGCTCAGTGGTAGATGGTAAGAGGAATAATAGCCAAGGGACAAAGACTGAGCAGCCTCTATTTCCAAAGCGTCCAGGGGAATTGGAGCCCTGCAGGAAGAGCCCAATTTCAGTTAAAGAAGGATTAAAAGAAGGAGGGAGGATTCAGTGCGGGGATTGAGAGCGTAGGGATACTTACTCACCATGAAATATGGGTTCAAAAAGACTTTGTGGGATATGGGAAGGTGGGAAGAGCAGGATTCTGGACAAGGGAAGAGAAAGCACAAAGCAGAATGGGGCCAAAAGTACAGGAGAAGATGGCTGACTGGAGGGAGGGGCTTATGTTTGAGCAGCGACCAGTCACAATGTACACGTCAGGTGTAAGCTTGCCACAAGGCTCCACTGACAAAAAGTCTTTACCAAGCATCTGTTCTGTGGTGGCCATTGCTCTCGGTGCTTGGGCCCGTCAGTAATCACGGGTGGCTGACCTCACAGGGCTCACAGTCTAGCAAGAAGAGATGGACGCTGAACAATGAACATAATGTAATAAATAACAAAACAGACGAGTGTACCAGAATGAGATACGTGGCCCGGAAAAGAAAAGAGCAGGGGAAGGGGGTTTGGGAGTATCGGTGAGGGTGCAGTAAAAGAAGTTGTAGAATTACCAAGAATGGTCTGGGCAACATTTAGCAAAGATAAGAAGCCGGTGAGAGAGTTAAGCATGCTGATTTAGAGGAGAATCCCAAGCAGTAAAAACAGCCACCAGAAGGGCATGTTGAAGGAATAACAAGGAAACCCCAGTGGCTAGAGCTGTGTGAACAAGGGGGAGAGTAGGAGGTGAACAGGTAACTCGGGATAAGAAGGGGCAGTGAAATGGACAACCAGCACAAGATTCTGACAAGAGAAGTGGCGTGATGTGGTTTATGTTTTAATAGTATTACTCAGAGTGCCATGTTGAAACTAGGCTCCAGGGAGACAATGAAAGCAGAGAGATCAGTTAGAAGATTATGGTTTGATTTGGATCATGGCAGTAAGGTTGAAGTTCTGGTAGAACCAGTCCAAGAAATTGTCTGGTAGACAGAGGAGGGCACTTGGTCCTCCCAGGAGAGAGCCGCGGTCTTCATCGATTACAGAAGCTCCAGGGACTAGTGACTGGAACATGGTTCTGGCGGACCAGTTAAAGAACAGGGCTGTTAAGGATTGGAAGAATTGCTTGTAAAAGTGAATTTGAACTGGTCTGTGTGGGTCTCAAGGACAACTTTCAGATGTTGGTTGGATGAGTCTGTCATGGTTAGAAGCCTGACTCTGCTTTGCTAAAGGTTGTACAACTCAACAGTGCTCGCAGGTCACTATGCAACTAGTGTATAGAGGCTGCTTACTGTACAATTTAGAGCAAACTTTCTGCTGCCACACCTTAAGACAATCTGGAAGACTCAGAGAATCTCCAAAATTGTGAAGGAACACAGGAAGTGACTAGAGGAACTCATACTGTTGTCATTAGCTTTAGGAAGACAAGATTCAAGCAGAAGAGGCTTGTCTTCAAGTGCTGGACGAATTGTTTATGAAAGCAGATTTGGACTTGTTCCTTATGTTCTTAGGAATAGGACCACTGGGTAGAAGCTACATACAGGGACCTGCATTTCAGTCCCATATAAGGAAGAACTTTCTAACAGATGGAGTTATTTACAGATGGAAGTGATGCATTCATTCTCACTGGATAGAGATGTTAGAGAAACAGGCTAATAGCCACTTGGCAGGGATGCAGCTCCTAACGGCCGGTTCTAGCCAGCTACAGGAGGGAGCGGAGGATTCCAAAGCTGAGTTCAGGTTCAGCAGAAAGAGTGCTGAGATACACTAACAATGCCTGCCATTGGCCAAAAGAGCAAAAAGTAAGGAGCACATGTGCGATTATTTGTCATTCCAATTGTAAACACTCAAATATTGGTTGGAAAATCCAACCATGTTACTTTTAAGAACCTTCCCATTCCTAAGAATGTAATTCTGTTTGTGCATATACAGAATTCTTGTTCTCCACAAAGCATGTAACTGCATCCACTTTTGATAATAGTTTTCTCTCTTGGAAGATGCAATAAACAACAGAGAAAAATTATTAATCTGGGGATATCTTTAAAAATTTTTTTATTTTACATTACAGTTGATGGGGATATCTTTTATAGGAAAGCTCATTTATGACAAAGACGCCACCTTTCAGTTCATAACAGCAGACGGCATAGTCAGATCTGTACACCAGAAGAAACATAACTTGCTAAAAGTTGGGATATGCCTCATAAGAAAAATACAATTCAAGAGGTCTGTAAAACTTAAGAAAAGTGTTGACTGTTCAATCACAGGTTATCCTGTACAAACAACAAATATGAGCACTACATTTGTGCTGGAGTATTTATTGTCACCTCTGCATCGCCCTCACCCCCTTCCCCAGTTTCTTCTACACACAGAGAAGAAACCCGAACGTATTTCCCAGAGTCCTCCCCGCTGTGTATCTCTGAGCTAGGTCTGCCAAAGAAAGGCACTTCAGTGAGATTTGGAAGGTTGAAGAGAAGAAGCCATTTTTCTCCAGAGGCAGATTCTGCCCTTCGTCAGGCTTGCTGCCGTAGGGGGGACAGGTTGTTGATGGCTCCCCAGAGGTACTGAGGTTTCCAGCAACTTGTAGTGACCACTTGAGAGCCATCCACTCCAGTGCTTTGTTCCGTTGCAGCTTCCCTGATCTTTGCCTGCCTTATTTTTTCCTACAGTTGCATAAGCCTCTATTTACCATATGAAATCTTTTCTGCTTGAGTTATGGAGAGTAGCTTCTGTATTTCCTACCAAACCTGTCAGGGAAATTAAATCCAAATCCCTCATTTCAAACAGAAGGGAAAATTGTTGAAATGACTCGGGGAGCCAGGAGTCACTGCTGGCTTTTAGGAAGTCAGAAGTGGCAGGAACGTCATCACTGACGACCTGCCTGCCTGCCTGCAGCGTCCATGTGGGGTCTGCGGGGAGATGGCTGGAAGCCACTGGCAAGGCTTTCCTTCTGCTGAGGCCTGTTGGCCTGCCCACCACTGTTACCAGAGCAACAGTGACCTCCGTTTCTCCTCT